ATTTTCTGTTTCTCTTACTCTTTTTTAAAAATTGTAATCATCCCGGTGGATGTGAAGAGGTATCTCATTGTCTCATTGTGGTTTGATTTGTATTTCCGTAAGAGTGATATTGAGCATCTTTTTATGTGCTTATTAGCCATTTGTATACCTTTGGAGAAATGTCTGTTTAGATCCTTTGCCCATTTTTAAATCAGGATGGTTGGGTTTTTTTTGTTGATAAATGATTTGCAAATATTTTCTCCCATTCCATGGGTTGCCTTTTCACTCTGTTGATAGTGTCCTTTGATGCACAAAAGTTTTTAATTTTTATGAAGTCCAATTTATCTATTTTTCTCTTGTTGCCTGTGTCATGTGCAAGAAATCATTGTCAAATCCAATGCCATGAAGCTTTTGTTCTCTTTTCTTCTAAGGGTTTCATAGTTTTAGCTCATATGTCTAGATCTTTTATCCATTTGGTATTAATTTTTATGGTCTAAAGTAAAGGTCTAACTTAATTCTTACACATGTGAATATCCAATTTCCCAGCACCATTTATTGAAAAGACTGTTCTTTCCTATTGACTGGTCTTGGAAGCCTTGTCAAAATCATTTGACCATATATGCAAGGGTTTATATCTAGGTTCTCTATTGTATTCCATTGGTCTTTATGGCTGTGTTTATGCCAGTACTACACTGTTTTAATTACTGTTGCTTTGTAGTAAGTTTTGAAATCCAAAAGGGTGAGACCTCCAACTGTACTCTTCTTGTTCAAAATTGTTTTGGCTATTCAGGGTCCTTTGAGATTTCATATGAATTTTAGGCAGTCAAAGGCTTTTTTTAAATATAGGCTCATAGTTTCATTGGCAATACAAGTACCTTAAAACATTTTTGGTGTGTAAGAGTTTTCTAGAGAAACATAACTAATAGGATGTATATAGTATGTATGTACATACATACCTATGTGTGTATGTGTGTATACACAGAGATTTTAAGAAACTGGTTCATATGATTATAGAGGCTGTTAAGTCCAAAATCTTCAGGACAGGCTAGCAGCTGGAGATGTATGGAATAGTTGATGTTGCAATTAAAATCCAAAGAGTTTGCTGACAGAATCCCTCTCTCTCAGTGGAAGTCAGTCTTTTTTCTATTGAAATCTTCAACTGATTGGATGAGGCCCACCTGCAGATAATCTGCTTTATTCAAAGTCTTCTGCTTTAAATGTTAATCTCATCTTAATTAATATATTCATGGAAACATCTAGAATAATATTTGACCAAATATCTGTGTACTGTGGCCTACCCAAATTGGCACACAAAATTGACACAATGGGTTTCTATTTGTGCTAGTCAGATCCATGTAATGCTAACCACAGCTCAAGTTCTTTCCTAGGTAGAATTCTCAGGTTGATAGATTTATTTGCTTCATTCCCTCCCTGCCTCACTCTCAACATAATGGGACTATGTTGAAGGCAGGTGAAATAAGTGGAAAGGCCACACTCTTCACCTTAGAGGTGATCACATCTTCAAACTTGTGTTGTTCAAGACCTTTTACAATCCTATATTTTGTTGTTCAGAAGCAGTCAGTTTTTCCAACCCTGAAAGGCCCATCATTTCTAGACTTTCTCTATTTACCTTCTATCTCTGCTTGAAAACCAGCTAATTTTCACATAAGTTCACCTCTTTCTTCTAATATTTTATATTACCTGTGCAATAAAATGTTTTAACTACCTGTGCTAGTTACTAAGTTGCTGTTTCTCAGCTCCAAACTCACACTTTCTACTGTGAAATACTAGAGCTGGGACTCATTTCTGCTTAGTTAGGTGGCTCTATGTTTGGCTCTGCCAGAAAAAGCCGCTAGAGGGAGATAATGAGGTCGGAGGAGGAAGGAAGGGCTCCTAGCTTGTTTGCTTCCTGTTCCTGTGAGGTCACCCAGCAATGCTCCTTCACCCCGGCAGTAGCAGGATACACTGCGCAGTTTCCCCAACTGCAGAAGCAGCTTCATGGTGAACTAGTCAGAGACACCAGCACTAGCTGGGTAGCTCCCCTTCCTCAGCAGTGTTGGTCCATCCTCCAAGATCAAAGACAGACACCAGCACCAGCCTTAGAGGTCTGAGCTTCAGCTCTGTAGGGCCTCTCTTCTAAGTTTCTAAATTTTAGTGATTCCAAACTCTTCCCTTTGTTTTCCTAGCCCTAGGAATTACAGGTGCTTTCTGCTCCTGCTGCCTCCATGATATATCAGTTTCCTTCTTTACCTTTTCAGTTATCTAGTTAACATCTTTATTCTAGTTAACCATTCTGTCTATGCTCTTTGCCAAATGACTGCTGTGGTTTCTGTCTCATTGGCTGGACCCTGACTGATAAAGAAATTGGTACTAGGAGGGGTTCCAGAAAATAGACCTCAGAAGATGGGATTAGGGATCTGGATTGCTCATGTCATTAGGTCTGAGCGTGCTAAGCTCCTTGCCAATGGGAAACAAGATGCTACTAATCTGTGGGATGCTGTGGCATCATGATGGATCAAATTATCACCTGTCATTATTTGTAATGATGCCCACTAAAGCAAGTGCCCTGGGGGTCCTAGGGTTGTGTACTTGACTGTTATGGCAGTGGTGTTGACTACAGGGAATTGGTATGGGAGGAATTCTGAATGCATCACAGTCTTTGCAGGAAGAAAATGACAAGCTTGGGTCTTTGAACTCTCAGCCTAAGTCATGGTCAGGGAGTAATAGAGCTTCCAGGATAGCCATAAAAGAATCTCTTATTTCTTCTAGTCATGGGACTTATTTGCTATAAACAAAAAATATTGTGCATATTACAGAATTACATCAGTCAAATTCCGTCTTACTCTTTTCTGTGGTTGAGAATATATGGGCCCTTGAAATTTGGAATGGGGATATCTGGTTTGGCTCTCTTCTAGGTTCTCAGAATATCCTCCATTCTGCTAGCAGAAACCTGGGAGTTTTGCAGGCCAGGCTATCACTTCTACTCACTTTCCATTAGCCATAATTCAGTTACTTGGCTACACCTGTCTGTAGGAGAAGCTGGGAATTGCGGGTATTGCTGAGAATGAGTAGTTTATGCCACACAAAAGGGGCCATTAGTGCCATTTAAGAGAGAAGTTCGAGGAGAGTGATGTAGACAGAGGCCAAATTATAAAAAGTTAAGAAATGAATAGGTGACAAGGAAGTGGCAGCTACTTTTTAATATGACACTAAAGAGAGAAAAAAAGATAAACCTGAAGCCAGAGTGAGGAAGAAGCCAAATATGGAAAGCTGTTTCTGTTGTTGGTTTTTAAATTCAGTTTTGCTTTTTAACCGATAGAAGAGAATAGAGTCTTGTATGCAGTCTTGAAGAACAGGAAAAGAGATAGGATATGAGTGGAGGGCTGGCCATGGGCAGAAGGGGGCCCACATCTTTAAGATGACAGGAAAGGAAAGATGCAAATAGACATTATGAGGTAGGGAGGAGGGAAGCTGAAAATCAAGTAGGATAGTTTTGGTTTCTGCAAAGTGACAAGGAGCAAGAAAAGGTTTAGGGTTGTATGAAGACCCACCCAGCTGAGGAGGACAGCAGGGATCTGAGCTGGAACCAGTATGTCCAGTTTTGTGACTCTGTTTCACAGCCAAGGAGCAAGCGGGGAGAAAGCCCACAACATCGTTCACTCCAACATGCGGCTCATTAAATCCAGAGTTTTGGGCACCAAGGGCATGGCTGGGCAGCCTTCAGCATGCATAACGATGATCCTTGAGATCACTGCTACTGCCTTCCTACCCCTCTACGTCGTGTATTTTGACTTCCTTTTTACTCTCTTCTATGCTAGTCTCAGCGTTCCCTTTCCCTTAGGTTTCTTGGTAACCCCAGTGTGGTGGATAGACCCTAAGGTGACACCCAGTGATTCCTGCATCCTGGTATTCACACCTTTGCGTGATCCTCTCATCCTCAGTTCAAGTGGGGCCTGTGACTAGCTTCTAACATGCAGAGTATGGCAAAGGTAGTAGTGGGATGTCACTCCTGTTACATACATAATAAGTTACATTATACAAAACTCTGTCTTAGCAGACTGGAGCTAGACTCCTTGTGAGCTTGATGAAGCAAACAGCCATGTTGGAGAAGCCCACATGTGCAGGCACTCTATAGATGGTAACCTCCAGAAACTGCAAGTGGCCTCTGGATTCTGAAAGAGGTCTCCAGCTGACAACCAGCAAAATTCCCAGGCCCTCAGTCTTACAGTCACAAGGAAATAAGTTCTGCCAACAAAACCTGAATGGGTTTGCAAGTGGATTATTCCCCATTTGAGTCTGCAAATGAGAATGCAGGCTTGCTGACACCTTGACTGTAGCCCTCTGAGATTTTAAGCATAGGACTTAGCTAAGTGCGCTGGGCCTCCTGACTTGGAATCTGTGAGATATTAATAATGTGTAATGATTCAAGCTGCTAATTTTGTGTAATTTGTTACACAGCAACAGAATTCCTGAACACCCTGGGGCCCTGTGGCATCAATCCTACATTAGATGATACCTAAGAAAACCCCGGGTCTGGGTCCAGATGACAGAGCTGGGTGAGGATGGCCAAGATGTGCCACACCCACCCACTAGGTACTTCGAACTTCAAGGCAGTAGTTAACAGGGGCTTTCAAAGCAGATTATGTCCCAACCCCCACCCCTGCCTGCCCCCCAAAATGCCTATCCAGTCATTCCCTAGAGATGGGTGAAGCCTGGCCCTGTAATTACAGATTACCAGAAATGGATCACGAAGTCCACTACTCGAATCTCGGGGCTTAACACGGTCCCCGGCACAAGGGGGACGCCCAACAACTGATTTAGTTGCAAAAGAACAGAAAGCGCCCTCGAAGGGCATCTGTTGCCCCGTCATTTTGCAGGAGGGCAGCAAGGACTTGCAGGACCCGGCCGGCCGCGGGGGGCGAGCGCCATCCCGGGCCCAGGCGAAGGGGGCGCTGCGGCGGGAGGCCGCCCCGGGAGGGGCGGGGCCGCCCCCAGCGAGCGCGCGCGCGCGCCGCCGCTGCCACCTCCGCTTCTCGGCCCGGTCCCGGTGCGGCCCGGCCGGCCCGCGGGACGCGGAGCCGAGGCCGCGGCCGGCCGCATGAAGGACTGCGAGTACCAGCAGATCAGCCCCGGGGCTGCCCTGCCGCCCCCCTCTCCAGGGGTGCGCCGCTCCGGCCCCGCCGCGCCGCCCGGCCCGGGCCCCGGGCCCCCGTCGCCCGCCGCCGCACCGCGCTGGAGCGGCAGCGAGAGCAGCGGCCGCCGCCCACGGCGCAAGTGGGAGGTGTTCCCGGGCCGCAACCGCTTCTACTGCGGCGGCCGTCTCATGCTGGCCGGCCACGGCGGCGTCTTCGCGCTCACGCTGCTGCTGATCCTCACCACCAGCGTCCTCTTCTTCGTCTTCGAGTGAGTTCCTTGGCGCCCCCGTCCCCTCCGGTGCCCTCTGCTCCTGCCGCGCACCCATCTTCCCCAGCCCGTGGCGGGCACCCTCGTTCCCCCTGGTCTGCTGCTGGGCGCCCGTTCTCTCCCTTCTGCCCCGCACTCCACCCTTCCCAGCCCCTGCCGGGCATCCTCCCCGCCCCTCCCTGCCCTTGCCTGGCCCGCGCCCTCCCTGGGCTTCTCAGAATCTGCCCTTACGCCTGTCCAGGCTCCTGGCATATCTCTTACCCGCCCTGCCTGGCTCCCTCCACCCATCATTCCTGACTCCCCATCTTCCCCTGTTTGGATACCCTACCTACACTGGGCCCTCCCAGTCACCCCATCCTCTCTGACCCTTCCTTGGCACTCTGTCTTTGCCAGCCTCTGCCAGGAGCATCACCCTCCCAAGTTCCTGTACAGCCCCATCCTTTCTGTCCTCTCAGAATCTACCTCCGGGGCTCCTTAGATAGAGCCACTGGACCTCACCTATCCCCTGGACCATCTCTTGTCCCCCCTCCCCCCCCTCCCCCAGGTTTTTTCTGACTCCTTGAGGCATGTTTTCTTTATATCCCTTACAGACAACTTCTGAATTTCTTCCAGGGCCTTTGGCTGTATACTCTTCCCCATTCCCTCTAGGGTCCCCTGTCATCTCTCTACTCTTCTATTGTCTCCCGTTGCTTTCCTCCCGGTCATTCTCACCCTGGACCTTCGTGGAGTCTTCCCTCAAACATCTCTGGGTCTCTCAGGCCTTCCCTTCCCTCTCCAGCACCTTCCTTAGTTTCTCCAGAGCTTCTTGTCTTTCCCTCAGCCTCCTCCTGTCCCCTCAGACATCTCCCAGGCCCCTGCCCCCCACCTCCTGTCCTCCTGGCCTGCTTTCCCTTCTCAGCATTCTCGAGCATCCTCTGGCCTGTTCCATGGCAGGAGCAGCTGCAGTGCCTTGTTATTTTTCAAGAGTCCAGAGTGCTTTCGTGTGACAGGTCATATTTGCCCCTGTGGGTTTTTTACCTCTTCATGTCCCCAGTGACCCTGGATCAGCCCACACAGTATCTCCATTTTATGGATAGAGGAGGGGATGCCTGCCGTTTTACCAGGGTCACATATTTGTATTGGAAGTTTGCCGCCCTAGCCTTGGTCTCTAGCTCAAGCCACCCGCTGTGTGATTCCTTCCACACACACTCACACACACCCCGGCTACATGAGCCTGCCTTCCCCTCCTAGTTCTTCCCATCCTTTGTCGTCTTCCTTAATTATGCAGTGTTAAAAACTCCATCTTTGGGACCAACAGACCTGATTCAAATCCTGGCTCTGCCACATACTAACTGTGTGACTTTGGGGCAGTCTCTTCACCTCTCAGAGCCCCAGGGTCCTCATTTATAATGGGGCTTATAATAGTGCCCACCCCTGGAGTTGTCATGAGGGTGGCATGAAGTCACGCATGGAAGCCTTTAGCCAGTAACAAGCACTTAATGCTCCCTGCTGCTGTTGCCTATCATCTTCACCATAAAACACTGTCCAAGGGCTTGTGGCCATGTTATGGCTGCTGCAAGGACACCAGCCCGCAGGTGCCCTTTCCAGCTGCCAGATCATGTATCTGCAACATTGGGTTTTCCCTTGAAGCAAGGTGAAGCATCTCCCTTCCTCCCTTCCTTTCTCAGTCAGGGTGAATAGAAATTTCCAGGATAATTTAACAAGCAGAAGCTCTGGGAAGCCCCAGTCCCTGGCGTTTTCTCTGTGCTGAGTTTCACATCCACTCTTCTGGGCTGGCCCACATGGGTGTTTTGAAAGCGCCTTTTCCATCACTCCCAGGACTCAGCTGAGGCAGGAGGAAGTTGGCCCCCGTGACGCTGCAGTCTGGGATTTGGTCAGTTCCGAAGCAGAACCTTCTCTGGGCTGAGTGGGAAGCGAGGACTTCTGGATTCAGGGAGAACTTGTGAATCATCTTGTCTTTGTCTTTGATCTTCCTCGCTCGGCGTGGTGGAGTTGGCAGAAAGGTTTGAGTTTAGGCGGAGAGCGCACCTGGGTCTGGATGGGGTGAAAAACCTCAGTAGAGACCTGGCATGTGGGGACACTGTTGGTGAGGGTGTGGTGTGTGAGAGGCACGCACTCTCTCCCATTGCTCTGGGGAAAGGTGAAGATGGCTCTCTGGGGCCTTCCCTGCTGAGAATGGTTTTTCTTCATTGTTCGGTTGGGTGGATTATCGCACGGGCCTCCTGGTAAGGCTCCCACCACTACAGCCAAAGTGCCCCTTTAATTCTAAGTCAGATCTGAACCTCCCTGGCTTTCTGGGTAAGAGCCAAGAGCCCTGACAATGAGCTTTGGCTCTGTCTCCATCCTCTCCCACTATCCCCTTTTGTTCCCCTCTGGTGGCATTGGCGCCCCTGCACACCGTGTCTCAGAGCCTTTGTGCGTGTGGGATACCCTTCCCTTAGGGAGCTTTATGGCTCCTTCCCTCCCTTCTTCTGTCCTTCCCTGACCGTCCCTATAACACAGCAAACTGCTCCCCTCCCTCCCATGCCCTCTACCCTGACTTACTCTCTGACGCTCTTGTCACCATCTGAACATATTACACGTATACTTTTTGTTAGTTTCTTTCCTGTCTCTCCATAAGTAGGATTTTATTCTCCTCCCTGTTGTATTCTCAGTACTTAGAACAGGGTCTGGTATGTAGCAGGCACTCAATATGGTATATAGTTGTTGAATAAGTAGAGAGAGCCCTGGCTGGGAGCCCAGAGGCCCCAGTCCTGTTGTTGGCTGTCTGGGTGACCTTGGATCTGGCTGTGGGCCTCGGAATTCCCCTCTGTAATATCAGGGGGCTAGGACTTGGTGTTTCTGAGGGTACTACAAGTCTCAGACTTCAAGTCTTCTCCATTCCCTCAAAAGTCTGGTTGTACATGAGCTGGTGGAGTTGTCATGTGGGTGACAGAGAGGGCCTGGCTCTGTTTGAGGCTTGGACCCTGGACCACTGACATGTTTGGAGCACAACAGATTCCCCGTGGAGCCCTTGGCCTTGGCAGTCTCTGCTCCTCAAGGGAAGGGCCTCTGTGGAGACCAGAGCCTCTGATGATGGAGGCTCCAGAAGCAGCATGGAGATGCACACGAGGTTTCTTGCTGCTGCTGTGCCAGCTCCTGGGACCTTCCCTTCCAGTGGCTTGTTGTCTTCCAAATAGCAGCTCTTCACCCCATCGGCTGCCACTCTGGCTCTGGGAGGGAAGGCAACAAAGAACCGTGGTTCATAGTCTGGGCTGGCCTTGGAGTCAGCCCTGTGCACAGGCTGTTCTCCCTGCCAACTAGGGTTGGGGACCAGATCAAACTGACTGGGGATGCTAGCCCGGGGTGACAGTGGCAGTAGTGGACCATGCTCTTTCTCCCCACCCCCTTCACCTGCCTGACCTAGTCATTCTTCAGGTTTTAGCCTAGGCACCGTGTCCTCTCCTTCAGCCAGCTTGTCCTACTTTTCTGCTACTTTTCCCTTCCCCAGTATAGCATGCAAAGCCCTGTGGCGACTGTGTACATGTCGCTTTTCCTCACTAGACCGTAAGCCTCACTGAAGTGAGCAGGGTGAATGACTCTTGTCTCATTTACTGCTGTTTTTCTTGCTGCTTGTTGAAGGTATTGCTTGGCATGTATGAGACCTCAGTAGATGTGGAGTGACTGACTGACTGAACGAATGAGCATAGCCATGGATGGTTCATCTCAAGTGACTATCCAGTTATTGGTATGGCTGCCTGAAGCTCTGTGTTTGGAAGGATTCTGAGGCTTCAGTTAAGTGCAGGGATTAAATGCTGGAATCTATCAGTCACATCTGCCATGGGCACAGGGAGAAGGTACAAGGATCAATTAGTGATGTCTGCTCTAGGCACTTACAGGGGAAGTAGATGCACTCACCTAGGGGCTATACCTCTGCCTTAGGAAGAGGCTGCCTTCAAGAAAGTGGTGGTAATCGCAGGGATGACTGCCCCTGCCTAGTGCTGTAGCCTGTGCCCCCGGAAGCTTTTGGGATATCTGCTCATCTCTCTGTCCCTCTTTCTTTCTAGCTGTCCCTTCCTGGCCCGCCAGCTGACCCTCGCCATCCCCATCATCGCTGCCATCCTCTTCTTCTTCGTCATGAGCTGTCTGCTGCGGACGAGTCTCACCGACCCCGGGATCCTGCCCCGGGCCACTGTCTGTGAGGCAGCCGCCCTGGAGAAACAGATTGGTGAGGCGCCTACTCCAGCTGACGCTGCCTCTCGGCTCCACATTCCTTGATTTGAGAGGAGGCCGATTTTCTCTTCCCTCCCTGCTAGGGGCTGGGGCTTCAGTAGTGAGTAAGGCAAGCTGGAGCTGACACTGGAGTAGAGATAGATGACCAGCAAGTGAGCAAATAAGCAAGTGAGAAATGCTAGCAGTGTGGAGCTGAGAGCTTACTGGGGGCCAGGCACTGTTTTCACCTCTTGATATTCATAATTTATTTAATCCCCCAGCAGTCCTTTGAGATAGGGACTGTTGTTATTCTCGTTGTACTAATTAAACTGAGTCTCAGAGAAGTTAAGTAAGTGGTCCAACACCACACAGTAAATAGAAGAGCTGAGATCAGACCCTAGGTGGTCTGACCAGAGCTCCTACTCTTAAACATTCATATATACCTATTCATTCACTCATCGAACATTTATTGAGCCCCTACTGTGTGCCATGCACTTTTCCAGATGCTGGTGATATGGCAGTGAACAGATATGACAGTGTCCTGCACACTTGGCGCTGACATTATAGTGGGAGGAAAAACAAACAAATATCTAGGATGTCAGAAAGAAGGAAGCAGGGAGGGAGGGTGAGGACCAGGAGAGGGTGTAGGATTTTAAATAGGGTGGTCAGGGAAGAAAGGCCTCGTGAAAGAGTGACATCTGAGCGAAGACCCAAAGAGATGAGGAGTTGAACCATGTGGGTATCTGAGGGAAGAGCACAGGAGGTGTGGAGAGCAGGCCAGTTTAGACTAGGTGGTCAGGGGAGGCCTCTAGGAGGAGTTTGCACTTGAAATGAGCCTTGAGTGATACATTGGAGCCAGTAATATGTAGCCTAGAAACAGTGAAAGCAAAAGTCCAGACTGGCAAACAAGCTGGTCTATTTCAGGGCTGGCAGGGAGGTCTGTATGGCTAGAAAGAATGTGGGCTCCCAGGCACCCTAGGTGGCCCTTGACTCCTCCCAGACCGCTGTGTGAGTCCCCTGGGAGGTTGGGCAACAGGGCCAGGGCCTTAATCTCAGCTTGCTCCACCCTGCCTCCTTCCTGCTGAGAAGTGAGGTGGGTATTTGCACACCTCAGGGGTTTCCGGTCCGTGGTTGCCTCCTTCCCCTAACAGGGTGGCTTCCAGACAGGCTTTTAAACACTGGCTGGCCCTAAAGGAACCTAGTGGCCTGGAAATGTCAGAGCAGTGCTGGTCCATCACTGGAAGTCATCCCACTGATTCTCCGGAGCAGCCCCAGAAGGCGAGCAGAAGGGGAGAGGATATTCTCTGCGCTTTGTTCTTTGTCTCATTCCTCTGCCCAGGGCCATCCTCAGTCACACCCTTGTTTGCTGTCTTCCTCTACCTACATCCAGCTTCCTTCCCCTGCACCCTTGGGCCACTCACCACTTAGCCTCCCAGACTGTTGTTCCCGATTTCTGCGGTCTGACCTGGGCTGCTGCACCTGGCAGGTGGGCTGGGGGACGCTGCAGCAGCAGTCCCGTCTCTCCTTCCTCCAGGTGGGGACTAACCGTGAGGCAAGATCACCGTCCAGCTCAGCCTGAGCATAGCCTCTGGCCTCCCGTGAGCTCTTTGGCCATAATGGTAGCAGTAATTCCCCATGTCTGGGGAGTGCTTGACCATGTGCTGAGTGCTTCTCATCCATCAGCCCCACAAATCCTCACAACAGAGGCTGTGCCAATGCAGAAACCGAGGCAGGTGACACACAGCCAGGGAGCGGCAGCGTGGAGGTGGAGCATGTGCCCTGACTCCCAAACTCACTTTCTTTTCTGAGATGGCTTCAGGGACACATCCCCAGTCTCCTGAGGCCACACCCCTGTCACTCTTATGTCTCAACCCAAGTGTCCTGTACTCTGGGAAGTCTTTGAGACCCCAGTTGGGCCAGACCTTCTGGTGTCCACTCCCCAAGCGCCTTGGCCTTCCTTCCTTGGCTCTGTGCTGCGTGGTGGTGCTTGAATTGTCAGGCAGGCCCAGGAGGCTTTCCTGGACAGCGAGGGTCTTGTTCACCTCGTCTGCCCTGGGGGGTGTACAGTATAGTCAGCTGAATGGACAAGCCTCTGTGGAGGCCCTCCTTGCTGTCCCCAGGTGACTGGCAAAGAGTTGGAACTTCTCCCAGTTAGGCATTATGGGTCTGATCATTTATGTGTTATTTTTTTTATGCTGACTCATGACTCAGGGGACAGGAGGAGGTGGAGCCAAAATTAAATCTTAGGCGAACCCTGCCTTCTGATGGTTTCCAGACCGGCTCAGACCAAGGTGGAAGGGCTGACTGGCCACCACAGGTGCAATCAGGCTTTGGAGAAGGATCAGAGAAACCAGGAGTATCTTCTGCCTGGAGGTACAGGAAGGCTTCATGGAGAAGTGGCCGAGCCAAAGCTTACAGTCTGGGTGAAGTTCAAGTACAGGAAGATGTATGAAAGGAGCCTTCCAGGCAGACGCAACAGAAACTGGAGAGGACAGAGTGAGAAGTCCGAAGTGGGCCAGGTGTGGGACCCTGAGCAGGCCATGTTGGGGGTGTGGCCAGGAGGCTTCCAGTCAGGGTGAAACATTTTCTTGAAAAAACTAGGGGCACTGAGCTTTTTTAAGATGATTGGGGGCTGACTCTGAGATGGGTGTGCTGTTCGTTTAAATATGAACTGATTACCTGTGCCCATGCAGACTGTGGGCTTCTCATTTTGGCCAATAGGCCAGCAACTCCAGCCCACAGGTTTGGCCCAGGATCCCACCCTGCAAGACCACCGAGGTGGGGTGAGCAGCTCCTCCCAGTTTGCCCAGGACTGTCCCTGTTGTAGTGCTGAATCTCGAGTCTTGGAAACCCCTCAGTCCAGGCAAACGGGGCAGCTGGTCTCTCTGGTCTGAGATCCTGACTTGTTAGCTGGTGAGCTGGATCACTACGCAGGGCCACACTGTCCGAGTGCTCTGGGCAGTTGGAAAGGAGGTAGGAGGCAGGAACACTGCCCCCAAGAACACTGCCCTTCGGTTTGAGGGGAGATGTTAGAAACATCAAATCTGAGAGACAGACACTCAGCTAGACACAGTTAGAGCTCACAGGACAGACGGAAAGGCCGTCCCTCCCTCACCTTCGCACAGCAGGTCACAAGCCACATCCTGTTTGTTTTCCGGATGGCTCCCCTCTGGTCCTTTGGAAGCCCACTGCCAGGGAGCAGACCTGTCTCATTTTCCACCTGGATTGGCTTAAGATTCTGCCAACTGGTTCCTGAAACCTGGCCTCTCCCTTTAATCACAGTTGTTTCTCCTAGACCCAGATTTCACCTCCGCCCCCAACCCCCCCAACTCAGAATTCACGTGACTCCTTAGTTCCCTCAGCAGCAGTTCCTGAAGACTGGTCTTTTGAGTACAGCCGTTGTGATTTTTGCCCTTTCTGCATCTCACCTCGTACCTCATTTCTTTAGTATTTTCCTTAAATAGCTCACTTTTAAATGTATTTTACAAGGAGAATTTATATCATCCCTGTAAGTGGAAAGCCACTTGCTCTGAACAGAAGACAGTCAACAACAAAAACAACAATGTTATGGAATTCTTGGTGGTTACGGTTGCAGTCAACTTAGAGCAAGCACTCACTCCGAGGCCTGTGAGGGTCACAAGTTTTAGGTATTAAAAGTTGACACTTTCCCTTTGATGGAGTCAAAGGCTTGAAAGAAAATTGAAAAAGGAATAACTTTCTCATCACGTGATTCAATGGGACATGTGGCCCGGAACCAAGTCATCTTCCAGCCTCCAGAAAACTTGCCGGCTGAGGCGCACTTGCCGGCAAGCTCCAGCCCACCCTCCGCCCCCCGCCCCCCGCAGGGGTCCCCAGCCACACCGCATTAGTTAATGCCTTGTGCCTTTGCCTTTGTTCACTCCTTGGCCTGTACTGCCCTGCCGTCTTCTGGTGAGCCCAGGGTTGCATTCTTTCTGATCCATCCTACTTGCTCTTCATCTTTTGTGGCTTTCTTGAATGCTGCCTCCTGTCCCCACCCCACATATTCCCATGTTCTGCAGGTATTGAGTATAGACCCCAGTAGTGCCATTAATTGACTAACTATGGGTTGGACTTTTATATCTCTAATATAGAACATCATCATCTTACAGGGTTGATAATATTATTACCCAGTGAGGAAACCAACGCTCAGGTTGAGCAGTTTCCTCAGAATCACAGGCTAACAAGTGGCCAGGCCAGGTTTCAAGATGAGATCAGGCTGGCCCCAGAGTCACCACACTTGACTTATGTGCCTCTTACACCAATTCTATAATTATCCACTTCTCCCACTCATCCTGCCTTCAATCTGCGCTTTTCCTGTGTCCCCAGGCCTTCACTAAGCCTGTAGGTCATAGGGGGTTCCATAAACCTCTAGAATGAACAGAAATGATCAGGTGGGCATTACATTGGCCTGGGCGCTGCGGCTGACCTTGAGCTGGCCTGGAAGCTAGGGAGGCTACAGCTCTGCAGCTACTTCCCCTCCAGGTGGAGACGATGGAAGGCCAGCAGTCAGGGCCCGTAGAGTAGGGAGCCCAGCCTTCCCTCACTGACACATTCTTGCCAGCTCCCAGCCAGTCCCGGGGGCTCCCACACCAGCCCCTGGCCTCCGGTCACTGTCCCAGGCTTCCAGCTCTGACTGCAGGCTGCCTGCTGTTTCCTGTCCTGGGGCTGTGGTTGGGATGGAGACCCATAGGGTGCCCCTTGGTCAGGAGGAATGTGTGGGGAGATTCCTTTGCTTCTCACAGCATTCAGTGAGGAGGAGCCTTCTCCCTCATTGCCACATCCTCACCTGGAAGGCAGCAGCAGGGTAACTTTTTACTTCTGAGGAAAGATCCTGAAGCAGAAAGAGCCCTGGGTAGACTGCAGATCGCTGTAGGGCAGGGGTAGCACCTCTTATCACTGTTCCTTCATTTCTTCAACAAACACTTTCTGAACTGGGTGCATGATGCAAACAAATCTTACTCGTCTCTGCGTCCTGGCCCCTACCTCCTCTCCTCA